CGGCAAGGTGTAAACCCACAGTCAACTATTAGTGTTGGCCATTGATGGATGAAGTCAGACATTATTCTTTGCTCACTGTATATTGTATTTGAATCCTACTTCAGAGGTAAAGTGTTTGTTAATGTAAAAAGATGTTTCACAACATACTGCAATGTCTACATGTCAATGACAAGAGCACTTAAAATTATACAGTTGCATAAAGCTTTTATATTGGAATGTTTCAAAAGATATGTTTTATCTGTAATTATTTATTTATAATAAACATAATTTTTATATGTTAGTCATCACAAACATCTTGAAGTGTCTGTAGTATTCCAACAAAGACAGACATCTGTGTGCAACTTCTGCAGTGATGCCAGACAGACATTTGCTCATACATATCCAATCAACCACTTTTACATAAACAGGTAACTGCAAGGTTTGTATTCTTGATTTCCAACTATCCCTTGCAATGGCAGATGGGACTTGTTCAAGCAGTGCAGGATATACATGGACTGGTGCTGACATAGGAATATGAAGAGACGGATAAAAGTTTAAGATTACTTTCTTTTGACATTAATAACGTTTTCATGAGCAAAGCACAAAAATAAATGCAAAATATCTCTCAAGCACTTTTGACATGTATAGAATGTCTTCTTCAGGCAAAATGAAAACAAAGTTTAGAACATTGATACTCCAACGTTCTTTTGCATTTAGGAGCACAAAGAAATATCTCCTTGCAGTATAAAATAAATTATTTTGTCATGTCAAAACTTTATTAACACTGAAAGACAGTGATCTTAAACTTTTATATGATAAAAATCTGGCATGACAAAATAATAATTTCTTTCATACTTCAGGAAAGAGAGGGAGTCAACCAATTCTGCCAACACCCCTGTAAATTTCCTAACCTTCCTACTAGCACCTCTCCCCTGCTGATCTCTTGTGTATTAACAAAATATAATTAATATGCATGGCATTTTTCTCCACTAAATTCTGTTTCACACAGCTTCTCTCAATTCCATCATTTCCATGTCAGTATGCTTTATTGTGATATCCAGCCAGCACACTCTTAGTCTTCCACTTCTTCAGCCACTTACTGTATTCAACATGATATTCTTTCCCAGAGAGATTCTCATAAAGTTTTAATAAAGAAAAATAGCCTTTGCTGAACTATATGGCTTTTTCAGGAGATTCTTGACTTGGTTGAAGGGTCTAACACATCATTATTCCTAAGTGAAAGTCCTATGATTCTTCTCAGCATGGTGTCAAAGAAAGCAATAGCATATCATATGTATACTGGCCAAATGGCTCTAACCCAGGGAAAGATCTGGCAACCTACCCAGTATTCTGCAAAATTATTACATAGATCAACAAGTTGAAAATGTCTCGGTTAATACAGTGTGATTATAAAGTCGCAATCCATTTTTGTGAAAATGGTAGGAAAACCATTTCTTTGCTAGTTGTGTAAAGCATGTTGACCCAAGGAAACAGAACTGCTGTGGCTTGTGCTTGTTTGAATGGATTAATGTACACAGACATAACATCAAATCTGCTTGTTCCCTAGCCTCCAAGACACATTGCTTGATGGGTGGCATAGTCCTCTTTCTCCTCCTCCAGCTTATGTAACACCTGAACATGCTATCCATGTTTTACAAGTTTGTAATGAAGGATCTCCCACACTGTCAGTTATGGCACAGTGAATACCTGGCTTAGTCTTCTGGTTGATGATGTAGACTTTGTTATTGCAGTTTCTACACACTGAATCATTTCATCTGGTATGGTGGGTCTCCTAGAACATGTACTGTACATCATGTACATTACCCATTCATCCAAATTTAGTAACCAACAATCTGATATTGGCCCTGGTAAGAGTAGACTTCACCCAGAAATTCAGAAAATCTATCTGTACTTCATGTATGTTAATCCATTAAAACAAGTAAAAACAATAGTGATTCTCTCTTCTTGGATCATCATGTTTTACATGACCTGCTTACAAATGATTTTGTTTCTTACCAATTTTCCAATTACTGATTGAGACTTTATCATCACCTATATATATATATATATATATAACTTTAGCCGACTGAAAAGTATTATATATATATATAATACTTTTCAACAAAGTCGACTGAAGTTGAACTGATTACTTGCTTTTATGAAATTGCATCCAAGTAAGGCTAATTATTAAGTTGGAAGTGGATTTCTGCTCTCTCTCTTAATCCGTATCGACATTTCGAGGTCTAACATTTACCGAAATATAAAAAAAATACAAGAAACCATCAAGAAAATCATGAATTTGCTAGAAACAAAAAAATAACTGCAGACAGTTCAATAAGAACAGAGTTGTTATATACATTTTCTAACGTCAATTTTCGAATGAAAGTTAAAAAAAAAATAAATGCCATCTAGATTGTAATCAATAAAAATATAACAATAAATTATAAAAAAGTAGAAAAAGCGCTGTATTATATTAAATTTTCTATGTTAAACTGATTAAAACTTTATTAAATGAAATTTATATTCATACAGTCCTGCAATTCGGCGTTTCCTTATTGCACGAGTGCTCGACAGGAAAGTCTAACCCTCATTTAGTCCTCAATGTGTTTATGTATAAAGTTTATCGACACTTTAAAAAATTAGATTTAATATTTAAATAATTAAATTTATTTATTTAATTCTTTTATCCGCGTAAAAATATTCAATTTTGTGTTTTTTAATGTTTTTATATATTAAATTTTTTTTCTATTCGATTCTGTTAACGAAATAAATAAATAATAAACGTTGTAGATAATAAAATTAATATATAACATTGAGAAATAATATAAATTAATACAAATAATGAAGAATTATAATTCTCTGCGTGAAGAATAATTAATGAATAATTTAAACATTTTTATTTCTAAATGCAAATTTAAAGAAAAATAAATGAGAACGTAATTAAGTTATTTAGCATAATAATAATAATAATAATAATAATTTAAATAACGTTAGTTTATAATTTTCTAGTCTATTTTTTATTTATTAGAAAAATCTCTTAATCGTGAAAAATTATATTTTTAATATCTATTCATTTAATTTTGAATTTCATCATCATCAGAATTAACGGTAGAAGTTGAAGTCGAAATTAAAATAAAATGTATTTTTAAATAATTAATTAGTATTGTGTACACGTAGAATTAATTATTTAAATTAACTTTTATTTGAAAATTTTATAATTAATTTATTTATTTTTTGCGAACGTTATCTTCTACCAACAAAACAACAACAAAAAAAATCGAAATTTCATATTTTTATTTTTTGAATAAAAAATTCCGAAAGATATTATAATGTATCCTATCTCATGTTATCTACCCGACTTTTCTGCTTAATATGACTTGGTAATGTAGTAAATTCTGAAAGAAAATACTTTACATAAACATGCACATATATGTTAACATCTTGTGCCTATTTTGTATATAATTTTCTACCGTTAACGAATACAGAAATTTGGCAAAGAAGTTAAAGTTTTCACACCATTTAGCATGGTAAATATATCTAAAAATATATTTGGCTGAAAATATAGTTTTCTGATTGGTAGAACAAACAAAAAACATACGACGCATTCAGTTTTTCAACCAATAGTCGTTAAGGTAGCTTCGTATCCAATCAATTGCTATTAAAATGTTAAGCACTATATCTTATATATTCGGCATAGGACAGCCTGTATTCGTGGATAATTTCTCGTTTTTTAAGGTTATTTGTCAAAAATTCGCTATTGTGTATATTATTTAAACATGTAATATGACAATACCATTTTATATTTTATAATTTATTCCAAAACTCGTAATTTCTACGTGCTAACGACTCCTTTCGCTTAATAGTTTAGGAAATTGGCCACTCCTCCGATATTCCCAGTCATTCCCCTTCGATAATTTAGAATTGTTTTACGAATCAATTAAATTCGTAAATCCCGATTTTCGATAGAAAAGTCTGGAAGCGAGACATTAAATAATTACAAAGGAGATAAGTGGTAAAGTACTTGACTTTAGGTTCGTGATTGTGACTTATCATACTCATGTTTCATGCATGTCACGATCTCATTTCGCCACTCCATTCGCGAGAAAGCAACCGGATCTAACGGAAAGGAAGTGGAGTGGACGGAAATTCCCGTCGTACTAATTCTGGCGTCTTTTTTGCCTATAATTGGTGGTTCGACCACGGCATTTAAGGATTTCTTCCCCCTTTCTTAATTGCCATTGCCACGCTAAACCAGCGCATACTTGCATAAAACGCCAGAGTTTCCTAACAAGTCGTCGAGTGTCTTGACCCCGACTTATTAATTTGTCACATCGGTAACACTTTCGAAAGTACTCAGACACAGCACGATACACGTTTCCTTTATGGACACCTGCTTACTTCGTTATGGTGGTTTTTGTCGACGTGCTAGTCGACGACAAAGATTAAAGCACTATTTTGTCGTTACTTCCGGGTCGATGTAGACGTAGAATTTCCGCTAAAATATTTATAAATAATTAAAACAATACTAAAATAATATATACACACATATATATATATTATAGGCCGATAAACAATTTAAAATATAAAGATTAGCATAAAATATAGTCTCTGTCTGTAGTAATTGTAAAGGTGTTTTTTACAGGCCCTCATATGCTCGCACCGTACTTTATTTTTTTGTTTATTTTTAAAGTAATTTTATCGGCATTAATTAATCTGACTATAATTTAATAAAATATATAATATTGTAAATATAATTACGTAGTAACGAGTGCGAAATGATGTCGTAGCAAACTAATATTTTAATAACCGATAGACTTATCATCGATTATTTCAAAAGTAATTTTCGTCATCGAAGACTCGACAAAGATTACTTTGCTGTCATTAACATCTGCCATCCTTATCTTTATCAAAATGGAATTAATATAAATTAATTANATGTTTAAATACTTTAAAAAATATTTTAAAGAATACATATAAAATTATTTTAAAAAATTATAATACATATTTAATTTTTTACTTACTACAGTTATAAAAATGAGGATAGAAGAGGAAATTGTCAATGGGTCGACGTCTTAAACCTTTCATTAACGAAGACATACTTCCATAAATATCGTCTGGAATTCATTAGGAAAAAGAAGATTTTTTTAAAAAAAAAGGAAGAGGTAAACATATTACTCACTTTTATTAATAGACAATTAGAGAAAAATTTGAACATTTACAAGTAATTAGAAAATAAAGAATCGTGTGCCCGTCTGTGATAAGAATCTGAAAGCTTAATTGTAATTAATTACAGTTGTTACAAAACGAAGAGCGATGACAAACAATTAATAATGTTAATTTTAATGTAGCTAACTTTCACATTATCTGCTGACAGGTAATTTAACGGATATTAATACATAATAATACATAATTTTCTATGTTATTCAGAGGGAATACATTCGGTTTCGATCTTCACTATTACACAATAAATTCGGTTTGTTTCGAGTGTCTATTAACTCGATATTTTTCGAATTAACTGTTTAAAAACCGTATAAATACGTAGCATTTTTGTCGATAAATTTAGTAAAATTATTTTTAAAAGAGGATCCGATTGTACAGGACTATAAATGGGTTATGTAAAGGAGAAGGGGATTCATTTGTATAACTAACGTCAAATGCTTTAACTAATTACAATGAACGTTAATTATAAAATTAAGCATTAATTGAAAGTAATTGCATTTAATTTTTGGCCTTTAGATTTATTTCATTTCGTTGTTTTTTCCGGTAGTGAATAATGTAATAGCTTTAATATGATAAAATATAATGATAATTCGGATATAAATAATCTCAATGGGGACTTTTAAATGCAATATCTCGAAATCGCTGCAATTTAAATGCGATTAAATCTAATGTAATTCGAACACGATGAAAGATGCATTTGTTTCGTCAGAATAGTGCACGCTCTACGTCACTATTCTAATGTGATGTCATTCGTACTGTATGTTATTATGACGTCAAATTGGCGTAATATTATCCGAAATAATATAGGATAATAATATTAAGGATACGCAGTGATTTATGCATAATTAACAAATTTTATTATGTTTGAAATATTTTTTAACTCTTCACGTTCGTTAGGATGAATTTTTAATCACGCGGAAGCGAAAGATCGTTTTATAATGAACTAAATGTATTCCAGTTTATGAATTTCAAAAGCTGAAATAAATTTAGAGAACTAAAATTAATTTTTTCTGAGAAATAAGTTTTTTTTTTTATGTGAATTTTAACGAGAAGCGTTATAAAAAAAACATCAAGTAACATTCGTTGATCGGTCGGACTCGAGATGTCGCTAGTTACATTAAGTAGGCACGAAATGTGGACTTAGCTTTGGCACGTGTAATGCCACGTGAAGAAAAGGACGAGGAGAAAAAATTAATTTTAAAATAATTTATTTATCATCGAATGCTCTCGATTGATTTATATCGTATCCGTAATTAAACATTATTCTGTTAAAAAAAGAATAGATTTCCGACAGGATGATAGATGATCTGTCCTTATATTGGCATTGCTGATATGTTATAAAGATGATATTTCACCTGGGGATGCTACCATTCTGTCATTTTTGTCGGTGATATATCGTTTTGACACATTTGTTAAATCGCAAAGAATATCACTTTCGCCTAAATTCATCGATTTTTTACCATCCAGATTGGAAATTTTGTCAGTAAAAATTTATTAAACCGCTCTTTTTTCTCCTCTCTCCTTCTCACTTTGTTTTTTTAAATTTTTAATTTGACTAAATTTAAGATTTCTAACACACACACAAAAAAAAGACAGAGAAAAAATAGAATATTACTTACCACAATGCATTTCGTCCTCCCCATTTTCGCAGTGGAATTCTCCGTCGCAATGGTAATGTCTATCCAAACATACCGAAGTGTTTCCGCAAGGAAATTGTTCCGGACCGCAGTTAGTTTTTGCTGTCACGAAAAATTTTTCCACATTTTTACATTCCAGTCAGGAATTTTGCTCTCGTTAGCGAGATATTTGCATACATAATAATCAAAAATATATTATATTTTAATGCTCATACGCAGAAACAGGCCGAGACCTAGATAAAAAAACAAACAAAGTTTCGGCTCGATTGGATCCGAACCCACGTCTTTCGATAGCACGAAGAATGTTCGATCCTAGGAATGTTCGCTTTTATTAAACCTGTTAAATCATATATTCGTGTGCATAATGCAGCCCTCATTACATAAATATGTTTCTCATGTTTATTTATTCCTTAAAGTTATACAAAATATTAGCATAATCTACAAAGACAGCCATCGAGTTAACTTATAAAAATCTACAAATGATTTATATATACTGTATATATATAAAACACTCAACGTAGGCAACTACAGAACGTTGGTTGCGAGACAAATCGGAGAGAAAACTATAAGAAACGAAAACTTTTATATGTGTTAATGGCGAATGAGAAGAAAATTTGAAAATACAAAGTTGTTAGACAAGCGAATCCATCATACCAACTGCCGGAAATCTGGTTATTCTAAGTTCGTTCTACTAGGCAATTCCGGTCGAACTCGGCCGGAATTTTATCTAAATTTTCTGTATTAATATGGATAAATATTTCGTATCGAATATTTTTATTTTCCTTCTTATCAGATTTGGCTACTCGACCCGCTTCGGGTTATCCCCCCTTCTCGTTTGGATCCTCGTAAAATAAAAGGTTGGAGTAGAACTTCTTTCCTCTCGTTTTGTAAGAAAGTTAAACGGAAGGGTTTACAGAATTATTTTTCCAACCATTTTTATGGATTCTGAACTATTTAGTATTTTTATTACGAAATTAAACTACTATTCGATTAGTACACGAATATACTTCTCACATAATATTTTTCTTCGCTGTTTTTCAGTAAAGATACTTCTAAAATGAACTTGTGCAATGCGGATGTACGAAATGAAAACGTTGTACGTATTTAGCGCGGGTTCGAATCCCACTTCGGACATTAATAATTATTCTTTTGGAATTTGAATAGAAATTGTTGCTTCGATGTTATTTCCAACGTAGTGTTGCGATGCTTCGCTCGGTGAAAATTTAAAAAGAAATTAAATTAAATTGACCTTATTCCATCGATGCCTAAGTCGTGACGTTAATATAAATATTATTCGAATTAGGAACTAATTCAGCATGCGTTTCTCCAACTCCTTATTTGTCCTATCGAATTCAATTTGCTTAGATATCATTATCATAACGATGGAAACAAAATTTGTTTTTTAATATACTGGAAGAGGAAAAAATTAACTTATGTCTGTTATAATTTATTTGTTATTCGCAATTTACGTGATTACGTCCTTTGTAATTTATTAGTTATAAACCAATATAAGGGATGACCCGAAAGTCGGTTAACTGCATTTTATTTATTTATTTTGCTTTCTTTTTAAGAAGGAATAATACGAAAGATACTTTTCAAATATCTTATCGCAGAATTTTGCACAAAGTTAAAATAACTTTGAAATATTTCAATAATTTTTTCCTTCATTTTAGTTCATACGCAAGGTTGTCCAAAAGTCTATCAACCGTGTTTTTTACGTATGTCACGTGTTACAGTAGGCTACATATAAGAATGTGAATCGTAGGCAGAGTTTAGAACGACGTTTCCTTTATGTAATTAGTGAAATTGGTTACCAGACAGCATACCAGTCTTTGGAATGGTTAACTGAATTTTGGGTCACGACGTATATTTATATCATTCATTTACATAATGCCACTTATTTTAACATTGAAATGTACGCGTGTATATATCTCGAAAAATATTAAAACCGATTTTCTCAAAAACTGCAATAATTATCCTTTAAATTCGCCGTGGTAAGGCATATTCGGTAATAGAATAAATAAATAAAATATTAGATCTTATCCCTTCGAAACTTTTCAACATGAGCGCTCGAACATAATCAGCAATTCATAAATGTAGTTCAACGAATGTAATGTTTATACATCCAATCGAGAAAGTATCCAGTTTGGACAGATTTATTGTAAAGCGATGGTAGCCCGAAAGATAACAAGTTTATTCTACTCGGATATCACTTAAATAACTCTAGTACAACGAATAAATCATAAAGGATGTAAAGCGCGCACATTCACTAAATTCTTTTTTTATTATTATTATTAATATTTATACAAAAAACTAGATTTTTTTCTATACTTTATCGATTGATAAAATGCGAATTCCGCTTTAGGGAATTTATGCCGTATTTTTTTCGGAGTTTATTTTTAGGTGATAGTTTAGCGGATGATTTATTACGCAAATACTATAAATGCTAATAGAAGTAATAAGAACATGCCGAAAATTTATCAAAGTAAAAGGGCATCGGATAAAAGATAAAAATAGAATATGAAATTCTGTATCTAGACTCGGTTCTTGTATTCCGGATCTCCCGGCTTAACAATAATGATCTGTTGTTGTCGAAGATATTTATGAAGTGGTTCCCTCTCGTCTTAACGAGATCCATAAACAAAATATTTTGTTTCGTTAATTAATGAGTTTTTCCTCCCCTTCCTTTCGATAAGGAGGATTTTGTTTCGTTCTTAATCCGAATCCAATTTATCTTTACGTGATTTATGCGTACGCCTGCCTCCGGCAAAGGTTTTATTCTATAATGAGATGATATAAAACTAAAATGTACGCTCGCTAATATGTTGACAGTGTACTCGAGATTTCTGCTATTCAGATAAGAGATGCGGTAGACACTTCATTGATTCCGTTTTAACAAGGTGTACAGTACGTTTTATATTAATCGTTCTGTTTCGCGTTACGTATTAAATGATTATTAATAAAATGCATTACGCGACGAGCTAGCAAATTGCCAAAAATGTAGGAATTTTATATTTTAATTTCTCTCGTTTTTAATATGTGTGCTTCTTAACTGATGAGCATAACGTTTGCAACTAACTAAATATACGATAATCTAAGCTAGACGGGAGAGAGAGCTAAATAGAAAAACAAATTCCTATTATTTTTATAAATAAAATGATAAATATACACGCTTTCTCTCTCTCTCTCTCTCCCTCTCTTTTTAAATATTAAATATCTTAAATATCCAATAAATTATGTAGACTTTTTCAATCCTACAATATGCTTTCGAGATCCTCTTAGTACAGTACATGTGTAAGAGAGTGAGATATTTATCGAATTTGTAGTATCAAACTTCAAAATAAAATGTGGATGCGCATAGAAAAAGCAGGCTCGATAAAAATCTACACAAACAGAAAAAAAGTTACTTTGTAGTGTATAGTTATGTCGACAAATAAAGGTATTTTGAATCTATACGAAAATCAAAAAATTTCAGCTTGACTACAAACAATTCCTCGTCTGTAAATCCGATAGGAATCAATTTTTATGTATATCGGTTTATCCACGTATAGTATTATAGTAATAACATGTTTTTAAATTGAATTAAGTCTGACATTAAATATGTTTACAGATCATAGAGATTAGAACTTTCTATTTATCCCCCTCTAGAAAAATCGCTAAAAGCTAAAAAGTATTGAACGCATTTTTGTGTTATTTTTGTAGACTAGACATTCATTTTTCATTGTGACGACTTAAGCCACTGTTTATATAGAACGATCCATGTTATTATTAATAAATTTTTCTATTGTGTAAAGAAACGAGTATTTATAAATCTTATGAGACAAAAATCCACATTAATCAACCTAAAATATTTTCCTAAGGCAATTACTTTACTCGAAGAATTCAAAGACGAGACAGCAGATTGATGATTATTTGCTTGAATGTTGAGATAAAGTAATAAAAGAATTAAAAAAGTTTTTCTTTGTAAAAAAATAATTTTATTGTTATATAATATGTTCGTTCTAGTGTATAGCTATTAAGCTTTTTCAATTATTTAATTGATATTATATTAAATAATTCAATACCGAATATATTTATTAATGCCGAAATCGATTCGAAAGAGCTTAACGGTGATAAGAAGTGCACACAAATGCAGAAGTGTGTGCCTAAATACATATATTCGAGCAAATATATATGTTTGAAGACGAACAAAACATTAACACGTGTAAACAGACATTTAGACGAGCAAATACGCGTATATAAGAAAAACACACCTAAACAGACATAAATGGTATAGAAATATTAAACAGAAACAGAATTTTAAACATATAAACACTGGAATAAACGCGCATAAATGCACAAAAAGACAAAAGTGCGCGTAAATAAGAACAAGGAGATATAAACACGAACATAAACACTAAAATGCATAGATAGTTTCTAAGATATATGCACAAACACGCAATTATACAAATATATACAGCCTACATGCATATAAATCGAAAGTAAAATATTCAAAAGCAGAATAGACTTAACAGTTAATAAAACTTATATAAGTAATATATATATTTATTTATTTAATCTCTCTCCCTCTCTCTCTTTCTCTCTCTCTGTCTCTCTCTCTCTCTGTGTGTATGTGTGTGTGTATGTGTAATTTTAATATTCTCGACTTTTATCAACTGGCAGCAGCACATTTTAATAACACCTCTATTCATTTAAATTCGAATAAAATTTAAAATTAAATCTTGAAAAGTAATAAAGAGCAGACAGTCCATCTACCAGTTCTTTTAATAAATTCTTTTTNGTTAATCCATTAAAACAAGTAAAAACAATAGTGATTCTCTCTTCTTGGATCATCATGTTTTACATGACCTGCTTACAAATGATTTTGTTTCTTACCAATTTTCCAATTACTGATTGAGACTTTATCATCACCTATATATATATATATATATATAACTTTAGCCGACTGAAAAGTATTATATATATATATAATACTTTTCAACAAAGTCGACTGAAGTTGAACTGATTACTTGCTTTTATGAAATTGCATCCAAGTAAGGCTAATTATTAAGTTGGAAGTGGATTTCTGCTCTCTCTCTTAATCCGTATCGACATTTCGAGGT